AGGGGTGAAGCAGAGAGTCCGGCACTATCTCCAGGTCTCGCATCTCGTCACCTGGCAAGACAAGGGAAACCCGGTTCAGCCGGCGACCGCGGGACGGGACGGAGCGAGCGGGACGGGGACGCTGCCACCCAAGGCCGGGGACTCCGCAGCCAGCGCTCGAGGCACGCCGCTCCTGCCCTCTGCTAGCCGGGACGGACCTGCGGAAAGGCTGCCGGGCTGCCTGCCCCAGGCCCCAGCGGTGAATCGGTCGCAGGGGAGCGCCGGCAGCCGGTTCGCCTCCCTTCTTCATCGAGCTGGGCCCGCTCCTGCCACTTTGGGGAAGAGGAGCCGGCTTCAACAGATCGAAGTGCGCTCGCTTTTCCTGCCGGCTCTCAACCCCGTCCCGGAGAGACCTGCCCCGCCGGGCCGCCGGCGAGGGCAGCGCCGCCATTCCCCTGCCCCGCAGGTGACGGATCATCCGGTTAAGATGTCCTGGTGGCCTTAACCAGTGAAGCTCACCGCAAGCACCGGGGGCTCTGGCGGGACCAGGTCCGGCTCCAAGAGGGGTGAGGAGCCAGGACGGCTCCAGCTTTGGTTCTTTGCCGGCGGCACAGCAAAGCCGGGGGTCTGTCTGTCTCTCCGCCGGCTCCGGGGAGGAGCCAGAAGGTGTTTCCAAGCCACGCGGTGCCCGTTTGAGACGCCGGCCCGCAGGGGTAAATCCCCTACGCCGCGGTGGCGTGGTCGTGTTCTGCTACTCGGGGAAAACACTCTGGGCGGTTCTCGCGCTCGAAATACGGGCTGAGGGTGTGTTTTGGTTCAGGGGGCTTCAAAATTCGGCTGGTGGCAAGGGGAGGAACCGGGGAGGTAACACTTTGCACTTGCAGAGGTTTGCGGCATTACCCAACGCGCACACGTAGCACCTTTCATCCCACCATCGCCGGGGCACGGAGAGCGCCGGGGCACGGAGAGCGCCGGGGCGCACGCTCCCCCCACGCAAGCACCCCCCCTTTTTCCAACGGGAAGGGCGTCTCCAAAGCTCGACCCCGTCAGCCAGAGACGGGGCTGGAAAGCGCACCCACGTCCCCGTTTCCCACCCTGCCGGGACCCCTCGTCGTGTCCCCGGAGCCGGGGAGGCACCGGGGCTGCGGGATCCCCGCGGCACTCACCTTGCTGGCCGGCCAGCGACTGCGGTTCAGTGTTCAGACTCTGCAGGTAGTTGTGGCACCGCTCCTTGTGCTCCTCCAGCGTGCTCTGCTGCTTGTAGCTCCGGCCGCAGTAGTTGCACTTGTAGGGCTTGCCGACGGTGGGGGAGGAGACTGTAAAACAGGCAAACCAGAGCCTGGCCGTCAGAACAGACATTGTGCCCTCGCCGGAGAGCCCGGGAAAGGGGCTGGACGTGAGTCGACGAGAGAGAAAAAAGCGGGAGGAATCGGTCCCCAGGGAGCACGGCGGCGGGGCAGCCCCCCTCGCCGTCAGGCGATTTGCCCCCCTCAACCGCCGCTCCCTGCCAGAGAGCCGCAGGAGAAGGGCTGGATGCTCCTGGGTTTTGATAGACGGGGAGCTAGGAAAATCACTCCTAATTTGGCCAAATACCTAAACCGAAACGCCTCAGACCTGGCTCTTACCTACGCTCCGCTCCCCAGACACCGGCGACACGGGTTTCTAGCAGCTCCCTGTCCCCCCTACGCGCCCCCAGGGAACCCCTCGGGCTGGAAGCCCCGATGGCAGAGGCAGTATTTAAGGCGGGCAGCTGAACCCTCCAACTTTTTAAACATTTCTAAGCATTTTTTCACCCTCCATTCACCGCAAAGGGCTCGGTGGCTTGGCCAGCACGCGGCTGCTGTGCGGAGCGTGCACAACACACACACACAGGGATTTGTGATAAGACACGCGCCAGACACATTTTTATCCTCATCTCTCCCAATTTTCTCATTTCTGACTGAAAAATCACCGAAGCCACCCAAGGTCGGCGCTCAGCCTTGCTGGCCGGCGACCGTCAGACAAAGGAGAGCGGCCGACCTGCACG